CTCAGGCGGGGTGTTAGTGATGATTGCACGCAAATGGGCACATCCCAATCAGATTGGCTATCATGAGGAATTGCCTGGTAGGATCCTACATGTTCGGGTACATTTTGGGAAACGATCCACAGACATTGTAGCAGTTTACCAATTTACAGACTACCGAGACAAAATCTCCTATGACCGTAGGCAAAAATTTTGGACTCTCCTCGATCAATATTTGAACAGACTCCCTAATCGGAATCAACTCATTTGCAGTGGAGACTTCAACTGCGCCCTGCAGCAGCAACTACCATGGAGTGGTACCCATGGCTTCAGGTGGCAAGACAGACACCAACAGGGATATCAGCACCGGGACCATCACCGGTTCCACGCTCTCCTGGCGGACCAACAGTTGGTGGCTCTCAACACCTGGAACGAGTCCAAAGGCCCAACCTATTACCATGGGGACTATGCGGCTAGGATTGATTTCATTTGCACTCGGTTACATGCCTGTGACGGTAAATCCAAAGATGTGGCATATCTCAACACAGCCGAATTTGTGCCAATAAACAATGCCCATCACATACCCATTCTTGCGACAGTCAAGAAGATTCATGTGCAATATCACGTGGCCAGTGTTCCGAAGGCATGTAATTTGGACCAACGCGCCAGATGCAGACAAGCCCAATTGCAGGATTTGCCACAATGGCATGATTTGACGGCGAGCGTTTGTGCAGCAGTGACACAACTGACAGAATCAGTCTGGAAACACTGGAGTGCGTTTAGACGCCTGCAACGGGTTCAACAGAAACAGGCCAGACAGGCCAAGATTCGACGCTTTCAAGACATGTGTCAAGAACTTCAACATGCGGCAAACCGACATGATGCACATGGAATGTTTAAAATTATTAATCAATACACCCCCAAGAAGTCCATGTCTCGAATCCGTTTGCGCACACCAGATGGCCACATTGCAGATCAATATGCAACACATTCCATGCTGGTAGAGTACGTTCAACGCACATGGCAGGGGCCAAGTGACCTTCCGAAGTTTCATGAGGGGCCACCCGGCGTACCTTTCGATGCTGATCAGATCCGTTGTGCAGTGCTTCGACTACATCCCAACAAGTCCGTAGCCATGCCTTTCTTGCCAGCAATCATATGGAAAGGGGCCCCTGATCAGATTGCAACCTTTCTCCATGAAACCTTGCAGGAATGGTGGGGACAATACCCGCCCATCATTCCCCAAGATTGGAAGGATGCATGGTTGTATTTCATCCCCAAACCGGGCAAGCCTAGCAATAGCCCAGCCAATCTCCGACCCATTTCTTTAATGGAAACGTTTGGCAAATTGGTGATGGGGCTCATTGCTGATCAGCTGAAACTGCACTTGGAAAAAGCCTTGTGTCAATTTCCACAGCTTGGTTTTCTCCCACAGCGTGGGGCATTGGATGCTATCAGTAGAGTTTCACAGCATTGCACCCTGATCCGCACACTGATCAATGCCAACCGGCGCACAGTTTCACGACAGATGCTCATGCCGCCACGGCATACTGTCGTGGGAGGGATCCAAATGTTTTTAGACTTGACAAGAGCATTTGATTGTGCAGACAGAGCTATCTTGGTGGAACACCTACATGAACTCAATACCCCCCATGCGTTACTCACCATCATCACACACTGGCATGAGGGTACCCGGTATCACATTGTTTCCCCACACAATGTCACCCCTGTTGATGTTGGGTTGGGATTGCGCCAAGGATGTAAGATTGCCCCATTGTTGTGGTTGGTCTACATGAGCAAACTCCTTCACATCCTGGTACCTCTGACGGGTGAATCGTGGATCAGGGAATGCTTAACCTTGTACGCGGACGATGTGCATGTGGGCTGCCAGTTTTTGACACTTCAGGAACTTGATCATCATTTGCAATGTATGGGCCACCTATTGGATTGTATTGAACGATTGAAGCTCACCCTGTCATACCAGAAGACCTTTGTGATCCTGGCAGCCACAGGTAGCACAGCAAAAAGTGCTCTCAAGGGAAGAGTCAATCACACCCCATCAAAGATGATGATGGTGATCCCTCGTGGCGATGGAAGCAAAACGGAACTGCCTTTGCGATCAGCAGTGACATACCTTGGTACAACAATGTCATATGGAGCATATGAGATGCAGACATGGAAACAACGCAAACGGGCTGGCTGGGCCGCTTTTTCCAGACTGAAATGCTGGCTGCAACATCGACCCATCAGCTTGGCTCATCGGCTCTATCTGTGGAGAACGTGTATTCACACAATCATCACGTATGGCATCACAGCAACCAATGTCACTGTGAAGGTTTTGAATGAATACCAGATGATCACATACCAAATGCTGCGAACCATTTTTGGCAATCACTCCTATAGAACACGGAATACACATTCTCAGGTCATGGTTTTACACAATCACCCGCATCCTCTGGAACTCCTTCACTGCTTGGTGACCAGTTTATGGCAACGGATTCAGAGGCGCCGCATTGACTTGGACACCAACGATTTTTTGCAGCACATCTCATGGAATCACTTGCCAGACCTCATTGATCTCATTCAAAGATTGCAGGCAGTCTCGGCAGATGTTCCTATTGAGGATGACGCCACATCCCTACAGGTGCAATATCGATGCAAGTTTTGCGATTTTGTCACACACTCCATCCCCAACTTGCGTAGACACTGTACCACTTACCATCACCATAGCCAACATCGTACTTCACCCCACAACATCTTGACCATGTCATTGAACGGTAGAGCTCAATGTAACCATTGTCACAAAGAGTTTACCTCATGGCGGCGTTTCAGAATCCATGTGGAGCGCAATTGCTGCCAGGCTGAACAGAGACCGCCACTGCCCCCTGCAGCGGCTGCCACCTCAAGCACATGCAAGGCAGAAACGGAAGATTTTCACGTGATTCATCAGATCTTCTGGCCTGAGCTTAAACGGATGACACAGGACAGCCAATGGGACCAGGTGCAAACTGACCCTGCCATTGGAGCATACCTGACACACACCTGTTGTGTGTGCGGGTTATGGAACAACAGGTGCCAGGAATTGCATTGCCACTTCCGGCTGAATCACCCGGAGTTAGTTGCAGGCATTTTTGCAAAAAGCGCCCAGAGCACCAAACTGATCCAGTCATCCAGCCCATGCGTGCTCTGCGGCAAGCAGTATCTCAGAGGACACACATGCACGGTAGCCACACAACTTGCAGTCCTACACCTGTATTGCCTCAATGTTCAGGGAACCAATTTGACGTGTGATTTGTGTGCAGCAACCTTTGCTACACAGGCTGAATTACATCGACACTTGGGCACTAGCCATGACCTGGCCATCCACGACTGGAACGCTGCCAGGGACTCCCTGGAGTCCTGCAATGCATGCTCACATTGTGGGCATCCCTTTGCATCACGGGATGGCCTGAGGCATCACATAATTTCTGGACGGTGTCCGTCATTCAATCCCTTGGCTACAAACATTCCCCTGAATGCGGCCCAGAAATGGGAAATGCTGCTCACTACCGGGGATTTTGCACAGGGTTTGACTGCGCATCAGCGATTACAATTGACGCTGCATTGCCAACTTTGTGGTGAAATTTACAGCAGATCAAACGATCTCAGTGCTCACCTCCAGCAAAGCCATGGGGATCTCTGGAATAAGTCCAACGAAATGGTCCGGTTCCTTTTGCAAACATTGGTTGCCCGTGTCGGATGCAGATGCAACCCAAGCACCCATGATGTCAGCCGCACACATGTTTGCAATTTGATCAGACAGGCAGCCATGATCTTTTACACCAGTGAGCAGGACATCCTGGTACCCTGGCAATTCACTGAGGCTGATATCAGACAGAACTGCCGCCTGAGCTCTTCCGTCAATCATTTTCAGCTGTTGATCAACGTGCTTATTGACCGTGATTTCAGTCGTTTGTGGAACACACCAACGTTGTTGCAGATTTTTCGCAATTGGTGCGTTGTTTGTGGAGGATGGTTTCATGCAGCTGCCTTGACGACGCACCAACTTCATTGCCATCACCAAGAATGTCAGTGGGCGGCTCAAATCAAATTTCAGGTGTTGCATTGTATGTTGCATGAACTACAACAAGACTATCAATGCCATTTTTGCAATCTGGTTTTCAATTTTCAGCCTACTGATGACAGCAATTTGGATGAACGTGCCGAACTGAAGCAAATCCATCTTGCCTCAAATTGCCCTGTGCTGCAACAGCTCACGCTGCTCCTGCTACCGATACATGTCAGAGCTGCCAATGTTGGACCAATCGGACACGGAGCTGCTTCAATCGTTTGCCCAACTGAGCCCGCTGCTCTTGCAGGCGAGCCAATACATCAGGTCAAACGACGACGAACCGCAAGCCAAAAAGCTGCGACAGGGACCCACGGCTCACAAAGAGCCAGATCCCAACCAGGGGCAAAAGGCTATCCTGAACCTGGTAAAGCTTATGGCACAGGTGGTCATCCAGCACGACAAGGCCATCCAGCTACACCAACGTCAGGAATGCTTCGTTTTGTTCGTCCAGTCCAGCCCGGGCAGCGCCTTGACAACATTGACGCAGCAAACTCTGGAATGGAAGACCAAATGGGCACAGGAGTTGGACCACCCCAAGAGGCCCACTCTCAGAACGTTCCTCTTTCGCAGCCTGATAGTGGATCTGCAACAGAGGGTGGTCAAGCTGTCACAGAGCAGCCCAGGACAACAGCTCTGGGACACAGCAGTGCAGGAAGGAGTGATTCAGGCAGACGGGTCATGGCCTTTTCAGAAATGGTGCCATCAGTCCAAGAAACTCATCACGGCTCACCGCAAACCGGCAGAGATGAGTCGGGCTCTCAAGGACCTGCAGTTCCTGATAGAGTTGCTGGAGGAGAACAGTCACATCCAGCGTTTTCATGGAATGAAGCCGCAGAAAGCAGTGGTGCCGTGGATCCTCCAGGTCAGCTTGAGAGAACAGGACGTCTGGATCCTGCTGGAGTTTTGGGCACAGTCAACGCTGTGGTCGCTGGTGGGCGTGTCGATGAAAATGCACTCCCAAACCATGAGCAAACCAGCTCAGACCCTGGAGAGTCTGCTGAACCCACGCAACGGGAAGAGTTCAGGCAAGGGCAAATCGAAGCAAGGATGACAGCCGCTGCCAGACAGGCTTTACGGCAGGCCATGACAGACCTGGTGTTTGACAACCCAGGTAATCTCTGCTATGCCAATGCCTCCATCACATCCTTTGTGTGGGCAAGTCTCTCCCGGCACACTTTCGAGTACGTTGATTGGGGCTCATCAGCTGAGGCATTTCTTTTCATGCTGAGATCCACTGACAGTCCATATGCCGTTGATCAACAACATTGGTTCCAAGAAATTGTTGCACCATGGACGGCACAAGACGGTCAGGCAGACTCGGCGGAATTTACGTCTCTGTTGATGCAAAGGGTTCAACCGCCAGCTGTCTGCTGCCTTTGGCAAAGAAGATGGCTGCAGTGTGAAAATGTGATGATTCATGACCGCAGTGACAGACATCAACCATTAACATTGCAACTGCATCCATCGCAGACGACAGAGGGCATAGCACGTCTCACTGACCTACTCAGGTGTTGGCATGTGGAGCTGGGCATGCAGGCGGGGTTACTCAGGGCACCTGAACTTCTCTGTGTCCACATTGACCGCCTGGAGCGCAATGGTTCCAACCTTATTCAGAAGCTGCAGACTCCTGTCATTTTCACTGGACAGATTGCTGTTCCCGTGTTTGTGCAACAGGGCATTGACTGTGCGTGGAATCAGTACTATGCAGTGGCGGCTTTTGCGCATTATGGTGAAGACAATGCAGGGCATTATCAGGCACTGCTCCGTACCACGGACCCGAAAGGCACTGCAGATCGATCATGTTGGCTTCACTGTGATGACTGTCGCCGCCCCATCCCATGCACAGAAATCCCTGCAGGTTTTCATGCGAGCGTTACCTGTGTATGGCTCTGCAGAGCGGATGTCATGGAGCTTCACCAATGGCAGCAGGTAGTTCCCCAGGTCTCCCCATTGGGAGGGTTGATGCAGATGCTGGCAACATAATCTATTTGCCCAAATGCGACCACCGGTTTTGATATGGGGATGAGTTTTTTTGTTGCGCCTGGCCGATGGTTCAAACTACTTGCGTTTCCATTTGCAGCATGGCTCATCGAGATCAATCCCTCCACCCCTGCCTGTGCCCCCTGGCAACCCCAGGGTGTAAACCCCAGCACGAAGGGCCACCAAAAGAAGCCCCAAAAAAAAAAAAAAAAATTAGATCGGTCTCACCAGTTTCACTCGTCTCACCATGTGCACCCAACGTGATGAACTCCTCGAGTGGGTAGGTCCAGTGGTGCTGCAGTACATGTGCATTTAGCACAATCCAACATTGCCATTTTGGCACCTGCATCAGCCTGATGCGACAGCTAAAGGCCATTTTGGCCCATTGACCACCAGGTCGGACCCCTGACCATGCCTGACCATGCCTAGCCGGCGACTCCCGATTTCGAAAACACCGAAGCCCAGACTGCATTGATGATCCCATGACTTGTGGTTCTGCACTGTCAATCGTTGCATGCCTCACCAACTCCCCTCCCCAGACAATGCTCTGATCACCTGATCGAGCAAGGCCCTCCGGTATCCCCGGAGTGTACCCCCAGTCTTCCAGGGCCACCAAAAGAAGCCCCAAAAAAAAAAAGCCACCAAAAGAAGCCAACAAAAAAAAAAGAGGCGGAAGCCCATCAAGCTGTTGCTTCTCCTTTACAAATGTTTCACAATGCCGTCCAACGAGGCCACACCCGTGACCCAGTGACGTTAGTTCTTCACCATTTCTCCCTGACAACCAAGCCCTCTGGATCCACCAGAGTGTATCGGCATCATCCATCCTTTAGCTGAACTTCTTTTGCTGCATTACCTTTTCCCACCGGTAAGACAGCAATGCCATGATAGCCGTAGGGATCCCAATGTTTCTCACATAGAGAACCGATTCAGGAAATCCTGAATTGATGGCGTGCGCGGATTCTGAATCAGAAAGAAGCGTAGGAAAAAAAAACACACACACACACACCCACACCCACACACACACACACCCACACCCACACCCACACACACACACACACGCACGCACGCACACACACAGACACACACAGACACACAGAGACACACAGAGACACACAGAGACACACAGAGACACACAGAGACACACAGAGACACACAGAGACACACAGAGACACAGAGACACACAGAGACACAGAGACACACAGAGACACAGAGACACACAGAGACACAGAGACACACAGAGACACAGAGACACACAGAGACACACACACAGAGACACACAGAGAGACACGAGACAGACCAACACAGAGAGACACAGAGACACAGAGAGACAGACACAGAG